CCAGCGTGAGTTTAAGCCACCGGGTCCGGGACGCGAACCACGGTCGACTACATGGGAGTCCAGCGACATAGCCATTACGCTAACTGCTGGTCCCTCTCTCCTAATTCTCATCCAAATAAGTATATCCCATGTTTCTCTCTGTAAGGAGTGTCAGCCAGGAAGCAACCTGGTAAATACAAAACAGCTTCAAAAAGTTTATGGGAAAATGGAATCAAAGTATGAGTTTATTTTGGCATAAAGATTTTGGAAATCCATGCACAGTTTTCTGGGATATGCATTTTCTTTTTAAAAATGTTTTCTGAAAGTTTATTTATTTCTTCATGGGTGAGAGAGTCAGAGAGAGAGAGAGAGAGAGGAGAGAGGAGAGAGGGAGAGAGAACTCTTAACGGTGTCTTGATGCTATTACACACCTCCCGCTTCCGCAGCCTTAGATTGTGGACAGATATTTGTTTGGCTACTCAGATCTCAGGGAGGTGTCTGGACTTGAACTGGGAACCTTCTCATGTGGGATTGTTCCTTAGAATATTGTGTTTTGCTGCTGTGCCACCACCTGGCCCCTGTAAATACACATTTTTCATGAACTTGTTGAAGACCCTGTGCATATAACAGTCATTAATATAGTCTATACCATATATAATCATGTAATACTTTCCAGAATGAATTATATTTTAACATTTAGAAAGTCAGCTACTTTAATTTTACAAGTAATTGTGTTTTTTAAAAGAATTATTTGTTTAATTTTATATATTCATTCATTCATTTTAATTTTACCAGAGAGAGACACGAGAGAGAGAGAGAGAGAGAGAGAGAGAGAGAGAGAGAGAGTTCAGCATTTTAAACACATCGCCACCTGCTGGTTCGAAAATAATTGTGTTTGGTAGGCACAGAAGTTTAGGTATTTGTCTTATATAACTCAGCTCATTCATTGAATGACCAAAATGCAAGTTTTAAGCCCTGAATTTCCATCTCGGACTCTTCTGCTTCACTTCGCCTCTACTTCTAAGAGTTTCTTAGGATGGTTTGTTAGACATCAAGGAAAAACCTGAGATACCAAATATTTCTTCATTGACTCCTGAGAGCAATTGATGGATAAGGAGGACAAATGGAACAGGAGTAAAGAGAAGGTCTAGCTGGTGACGGTGGGACAGTTGCTTTTATTTACTTTAAAATAAAGCAAGTCTCCTTTGAGATGAGCCCCATCTAACTACACTGAACTCAAAGAGAGAAATAAATTCTAGCATGTTTTCATTAACTAGTGAAAATCCATAATAAATGAATGTTATTTAAGGTCTGGTCCTATACCTTAGGATTTCTAAGTTTATGGATTGACTACTTATTTGCTTGTCATTTGCCTCTTATTTTATTTATTTATTTATATTAATTTTACCTTCTCTGGAAGGAAATGAGATCAAATGAATAGACATAAAACAAAAAATTTAAATTATTATTGAGAGGTCAGTGGTTAAGATGCCTGAATCCCACATGGCTGACAGTACAGGTTGAATTCCAGGACCAGATGTGTGTGTGTGTGTGTGTGTGTGTGTGTGTGTGTGTATATATTTCCAAAACACC